AGAACATCAACATTAATTCCAACATGTCGGCCCCTGCTATCACAGTTTTTAAGGCTAAAGTCACCTAAGAGAAATTTGCTGAACCATCATTGACACTTACGAACTTTCAAAACATTTCCATAAACGTCTTTGATATTCTTTGTGGCTACAGAGGCGTTGTTTCCCTCCTTGTATTCAAACAGCATTACATGCCGAATGTGTGTCTCGTCATGTGCCATCACTATAAGGGATAAGAGTATATTAAGTTTTACACATTACATAGGCTACACTAACGTGACGTTTAGTCGGTTCGTTTAACTATTATACGTGAGGTACATTTTTAAGGTACATTTTTGAGGTACATTAATGAAAGTGCTCTAAAACGCGACGACCTAATTTATTTGTTTAAATGGAAGTGTGTGTTGTGCAATGCATACTATTCATACCATTAGACCTGAGATAATTTATTTTACAAAGTGAATTGACGTTAAAATGATTAAATATTCATTATTTTTATATACTTACAACGTTAAAATCCGAGGTTCGATTCCCGGTGGTAGGCAGAGCGCAAATAGCCCATTGAGTAGCTTTTCATTAAAAAGCGAATACATTATGATTAACTGTAAAAAGAGTCAATCAAGTATAAATTCCTAAAAATTGAAAAAAGCGGGCGTTTGAGAAATTAATAAATAAAGCTATGCGTTTTGCCACATCGAGATGTTTGAAGTAAATATAAATTTTCTTTTCTTAACTTGCTAAGTGCCAACATTCATTAACTTGTATTGAAGGCCTAATTCGACTCTACATTTCAGCATTTTCTTAGTATTACTATCAAATTTCTATCAGGACCATATTCTAATATTTATACTGCTACTTGATTGTTTTTGTTAGTAGAGGTACTACCATTGTAAGCTTTGACTAACGACGTCCAGAAAATGTGATATTAGATTTGTTATATATATATATATATGCATAACATGGGAAGCAAGACAGTGAGCAACGTTGGCTTATTTGTAACATTAGAAAGCTGCAAGCAGAGTACAAAGAGTTTCGCAATGACTGCAAATATTAATTAAAAGTTTAGTACTGATAAATGTTCAGTGTAATGTAATTAGTGTAATATACCAATTAAATCCACTGCTTGAAGCCTTATAAACTCTGAAGCTGTGCAGAGAAGGCTCGGAACCTTTCTATTATATATTGTATATACAACTACACATGCGCATAAGCTGGTCCCGAGAAGCTAATTCTACCTGTGAGAGCCACGAGGTGAGTAAGACTGTCTGACGACACGCACGCGACTGGTCTTCACTCAAGAGACTTCGTATTGATCAAAGACGAATACGAAGGACCAATTGAAAGCTTATCAGTAGCTAGGTGCTAGAAGGTAATATATTGCAGAGCTGAAAATATGAAAATATCAACAAGAGTGGTATTATTGGCCCTGATTCTTTATTTGTACAGTATGGAGGAATGTAAAGGTGAGATTTCAGCAAAATTGAAAAGGGGGTTAAGATTACAAAATATATTAGTGTTTCGTGAGATTATTGTGATCTTGTTACTATCGTGTTCTACACAAAGTTTATATATATATGTACAAATGAAAACCATACGACAACTGATCTTTTTTAACAGAACTGCAACAAAAGTTTAATTTCATCAGTGAAATTTCATTGGTTCATAAGCACATTTTTGTCTGCTGATTTATAGTTCCTTAGAGCCAATTGATGATAACATGATAAGACTTTGTTTTCAGTGGAAATTTGTGAAATATCTAGAATATAACATAACAAACACAGGAAAAAGGGTAGATTAAGATATGATAACACTTTGTTTTCAGTGGAAATTTGTGAAATATCTAGCATATAACATAACAAACACAGGAAAAAGGGTAGATTAAGATATGTCTGTGTGGTTTCTTGCACTAGTTGGAGATGTGCGAATAAACATATTTCAGTTTAGGCTTTCACCAAATAACGTCAGAATATATATAACATGTTGGTAAGGTAATAACTCTTTTTGTTTCTTACACTAAGAATAGGCTTAATATCATTATGATATCAAAGTTTTGTTTGACATTCAGAAATGTAAATTTCCCGTAACTTAATAAGTTGAGAAGACATAAAAAATCCTTGTTATTCTTCCCGAAGCTCTTGACAGTGAATCTAAAATAAAAAATGCTATGTATGTTAATGCATATATAAATTAAATTATGACATTCTAGTTTTAATTTTATCCATCATATGCGCTATGATACCGTTACTTTATCCTCCAGTCGGATTAGATTAAAAATTCCTGCTATTATTATTCATGCAATTGGTTCTTTGGAACATTCCCCAATTGTAATAGTGAGCTGATTGGCTGTGAGGCAACTTATATAGGAAAGGATATGCAAATAAATGTTTCCGCAGCCCAGAAAAATGTAGGTTATTGTTAGAACTCAAGGAAATTAAAGGTTGTTTTTACTGCATGATATATATGAATTTATGTCAGTGTATACAAGAGAAGAAAAATTGTAAACCTAATAAGATAAAAGATGAAACTAAGATAAAACGAAAGAAATGACAACAAAATATAAATGAGATGAATGTAACATACGGAGAACGAGAAGGTATGCAATTTACCTGTCACTGAGCTGATGAGACACGGGAAAGCGAAAATCGGGGGAAATGAGATAATTGAACAACGAATGAGTGTAAAACTGCATCATACCAATGAGACAAGACATATTGTGCAGCACTAACAGACGTTTAAGGTGGAAATTCTCTCTAGGTACAAGAGACGAGTAAGATAGACTTACATTTTATGAAGAGACTCAGAAAAGCTGTAACAGTCATGCCGAAAAAAACTGAAACTATACTCAGTTACAACAGAATAGTAACGATGATTGAAAGCTGTTGGCGGAGAGATGTAGGACGAGAGTAGTTTTGTGATGGAGACAGCGGCTTCGTTGGTTGAAACTTGTGTATTGAGACGAAGACAAATATGTAAGCAAATGTAGCCTCTACGTAGAGACAACAGAAGTGTAGAACATAAGAGTAAAACATATTTAAAGTGTAATTAAATACAGTTGGAAATTATGTATATAGTAACTGAGCATTACTGTTCTTAGATATAAGTAAAATGTTACAAATTATATATCGAGACAGTAGACATATAGACAAGCTTTATCTATATGTAGAAAGATCTGAAAAGTAATACAGTAAGAGATTGTATCCAACGAACACAAGTTTTAGAACTGTTAAAACTGAATGTATAAACAGAAGAAGTGTAGAAAAGATGGATCATGTAGTTAGAGACGTAGAGAGTAGAAAAAACTAATAACATATGAAGTTAAGTATGGTGTGTAAAAGACACACATCCTCGTACATTCGAGAGAAAATAAGTTATTCGAATAAAAAATGCAAAAAAAGTTAAAGTAGAAGAAGTAAAACAGGGACAGAGTGAAAGAAAGAAATTATTACAAGTTGCACAAAGGTATTTGTGTTGATTCTTAGTTTCAGTTTAGTGAAATATTTTACCAATCTGGTGTTTCTAAGCACCCTAATAGCTATAAAACACAGTGGATAAGTCGTTTATTTGTAGGTTGCGGCATTTGAAATGAATATAGTATTTATCAGCACGATAATTTTATGTTATAACACCTATTCTATTTCTAATTGTAACGTGCTCGTGTTATTATAACATGGATTCCTCTCCTTTATTACTCGTCATTGTAACTCACCTGTTTTATGTGTCACACTTCAGTAAACAGTTACATTAGTCGTAACTTTGAAAGAAAAGTAAATTATCTTTCTAGTGAAAACAATCTTTACTTGCGATATACATTAATGAAGACAAAAAGCGTAGTTTCAAATAAACGACTATTTTTTCAGTTATTTGTTGTAGTCTATTTTGATAGACTAACCATTAGAGTTAAGAACAGGACGACTAGTAATCGTAATGTCATACATAATACGACTACTTAAAGAACTTATAATAAAATACACAGAAGTGAGTTGTGGGTTTTTTACCTTCGCTTTTATCAGTATTAACTTAGTTATGTTTATAAGAAACCATTAGGTGTTATAATATTAACCAACAGTCTAAATCTGACTCAACATAATGCAACATACTACAGTGGTATAATTGTCGATAGTAACCTAATAGAACATAATACTGGTACGTTAGATGTTCAATAACGAACAAGAGTCTAAATTTGACTCAACATAATGCAACATGCTACAGTGGTATAAGTGTCGATATCGACAATTATACCACTGTAGCATGCTGCATTATGTTGAGTCAGATTTAGACTCTTGTTCGTTATTGAACATCTAACGTACCAGTATTATGTTCTGTTAGGTTACTCAGATTTAGACTCTTGTTCGTTATTGAACATCTAACGTACCAGTATTATGTTCTATTAGGTTACCACTCAACATAATGCAGCATGCTACAGTGGTGTAATTGTCGATGGTAACCTAATAGAACATAATACTGGTACGTTAGATGTTCAATAACGAACAAGAGTCTAAATTTGACTCAACATAATGCAGCATGTTACAGTGGTATAGTTGTCGATGGTAACCTAATAGAACATAATACTGGTACGTTAGATGTTCAATAACGAAAAAGAAAAATCTAATTTATTATAATATTAGCAATTTACAGTTACAAGTGGTATGATTACCAGTCATGTGGTTATTAAACTACTTATCTTATGTTTCGTTAGATGATTCCATTTTGAGCTATCTTGTAACAATTTGTATTATGTTTGTTTATATTTCTGTTTGTGTTACTCTGAGGAGAGGTCGACTTTACAAGTCATGTTTGTTTATATTTTCGTATTTGTTACTTTGAGGATGATGTTGTCTTTACAAGTTATGTTTATTTATATTTTTGTTTGCGTGTTTATTTGTAGTTAAGCACAAAGCTACAAAAAGGGCTATCTGTGCTCTGCCCACCACGAGTATCGAAACCCGGTTTCTAGCGTTGTAAGTCCGCAGATATACTGCTGTGCCACTGGGGTCTTTACTAACATTGACCAGTTCCAAAATCTATTAATGAATTTGAAAAACAGAGACAAAAGGCATTTAACAAACAAACTCAAATACTCCACAAAACAAAGGAAACCTAACCACTTGCACTAGCCCATATATATAGTAAATATAGCATACCTCTATCAGAAATTTCAAAAAAACTGGCACAAAAATATAACCTTAACATAACGACTAGATTTGGTTTCACCGTGAAATGAAAATTAAACACATGTTAAGATTATGTGACTATGTGATTTAGTATTATGACATTCTGTTCAGAAAAACTGTGTTTAGTTTTATTCATATGCTCATGGATTTGGGAAGGGGGAGATTTTGATGTTCCTTTAACCATGTATTCAAGTAACTTCCTGTTTCACCTACGTTAAAGGCTGGGTAACTGTTTTTGTAAACGTTTCATTGTGGGTTGGATTTGTTGTATAATTTTCTTAACATGTGTTTAATTTTCATTTCATGGTGAAAACAAATCTAGTCGTTATGTTAAGGTTATATTTTTGTGCCAGTTTTCTTGAAATTTCTGATAGAGGTATGCTATATTTGCTATATATATGGGCTAGTGCAAGTGGTTAGGTTTCCTTTGTTTTGTGGAGAATTTGAGTTTGTTTGTTAAATGCCTTTTGTCTCTGTTTTTCAAATTCATTAATAGATTTTGGAACTGGTCAATGTCAGTAAAAACCCCAGTGGTACAGCGGTATGTTTGCGGATTTACAACACTAGAATCCGGATTTCGATACCCGTGGTGGGCAGAGCACAGGTAGCCCATTGTGTTGCTTTGTGCTTAACTTCAAACAAACAAACGTTAGTAAAGCATTGAGTTAAGTACGCACCTTCTTTATATATTTTCTCTGGTGCATATAGTGTATGCTAAATTGGAGGCTTTTTAGTGTCTAGCTCCTGGTGGAGTACATGGTGCGATAACCAGTTTACGTCAGTTTCGCTGTATGTGTTATTTCTATGAATTTTAGTGGTGAAGCCTTGGGGGTTCGTGTGATGTCATCGTTTAGAAAATTTATCGTGTGATTATTTTCATTTTCCACTGTGAATTGTATGTCTTTATGTAGGTTGTTGATGTGTTGGAGAAAGTTTGTTTGTTCATCTTGACAAGTAAAGCCGCAAATCTATATATCTGAGCTAAAGTGTAGGCTTATACATGAGGTGGCTATGGCATGTTGTTCAATGTGAGGTGAGTAAAGAGTGGTCAAAGTACCTGATAATGGCAAGTCTGTGTAACTGAAGAAAGTACAAATCCCCGTATTGAAATCAAATAAATGTGGTACTTGTGAACTAATTTCTGCAGTAAGTTGTATTGCCTTATGACAAATGGTTTGAAGGGCTAGGTTTACGACATCAAAGCTAGACATAATGATGTCATTGTTGAAACCATGTAAGTGTTGTAGAAGATGTGAAGTGTTTTTAATTTGATGCTTATTTTGGAAACATAA